TCCCACCCCCGGCGCAGCCGAAGCGCTGGCAGAGCCGATGGGATTCTCTGCCCGGCAGGTGTAGGTGCCACTGTCCCCCAGCCGGGCACACTGGATAGTGAGAGCGTTTGACTCCCCAGCGGACTCGATCTGGAAGCGGCCGGCATCAGCCCGGTTCCGCAGGTATCTCCCATCCTTCTCCCAGTTCACCGAGAGGGGAGGGCTGCCCTGGACTTTGCACTTGAACATAGCGTCTTCTCCCAACGTTACTTTGATGGAGGAGGGTTTCTGGATGAAGTATGGGGCTGACTCTGTTACTGTGGTCTCCTCTCCAACTTTGATGCTGACAGCTGCAAAAGCTTCCCCGATGGTGTTCTTGGCCCGGCAGATGTATTGGCCACTGTCCTCCAAGCTCAGATCATAGATTGTTAGCCTGTAGAGATCCCCATCTTCTGTGGTTTTAAACCTTCCTCCAGACGGGACTGGAAGTTTATCCTTTTCCCAGCTCACAACTGGGATGGGGTTTCCAATGATCTGGCAGCTCAAGGTGGCATCCTTCCCCACAGACACCATAAATGCCTTAGGCCGGGTCAAGAAGCGGGGGACTCCACTGAACGAGCTGTAATCCATCTTGGTTACCTAAAGGGTGAAGAGGGAAAAAAAAAAAAAAGTCAAGAGAGAGCTTGTTAGATGGTGCAGGCAAAGAATTACGGCACTTCTGTGGTGTCAGGACGTTTGCCATCTAGAACAGTCTAGTTGGGGCACATTTTCACTGACCTTCTCTTTATGGGTGAGAAGGTCTTGCAATGTTTTTGGACTTGCAGATTTTTTAGATTTGAGATCAATAAACTGGTGATGGACAAGGTAGCTCACTTCCCCACAGGAGCCACTGGGTAAAATACACGTCTTGGGGCAGTTCGTACAGAAAGAACATGATGGTCCCTTTCTGCTTTGGCACTAGGAAAGTGGCCTGCACTAATGCTATATGACGTACGGGCTAGTTCTGTAACTGTAGAGAAACAAATGGACATTAAATTCTGAGAGATGTGCCTATCCATCAAGATACGTCCTCCATTACGCTCACCTCCTTTTCGTTTTCATCTCTCTTTTTCTACCTCATTACCCTTGCTCTTTTCAATTTTTCTCTTTCTCCTTGTCTCTTTTTTTTTTTTTTTTAAATTCTGCTTCTACAGGATGCTCCATCTCTCCACTTGCCCTCTCTGGTCATCACCCATCCCTAGGCCTTGTTCTCTGAATCACGTTCACGCAGAACTTACGGTAAACCCCTTTCCTGCAGGGGCCAGCCTTTAGGAGTAAATAGAGATATGCCTATCATATTATTGAGGATATTTCTCTTTATTCCCAGCTTCTGTTCCACACAGCCACTGAGATACACCTTCTTTGGTGGCAACGGTTGTCAGTGAGTATCTGTGGCTTATATGCAGCCTCATCCAGACGGTGCAGGGCGAGACACAGCCGCAGTGGGGAGGGGTCTTTGTGCAGATCTATGGCTCGGTGCGCACACACCACGTACACAGGAGCACAAAGCCATGTGCAGAAAACACCATGGGGAACGCACGCAGCAATCCAGACCACGTCAGGCTTCTCCAAAAAAGCCCCACGTGGCTTAGGGCTTACAGGAGAGATGTCTCATCGGCCACTTATTCTCGGCTGCTCTCAGCGGGAGCTGTGCACCAGCCTGCAGCTGTTTGGTGACACGGACCAGCCAAGGGGACGAGGCTCAGGCACTGTTCAAAACTAAAGCTCGTGGCAATGCTGGTGCCTGTGTGTCCCGAGAAAGTCCGATGCGCTCAGTGGCACTAATCTTTAGAGCCGTGATTCACTCACGCACGGAGTCTGCCCGTCCCTGTGCAGCTGGAGAGAACACAACCGAGGTCCCCCGAAGTCCGCGTGACACACAAACTTTTCTTGCTTCTTCACTGCTCCCTGCGTGGACTCCTGGAGGCCCTTGCCCTTCCGTTAGGGTGAGTCTACTTCTAATCCTCCAAGGAGCCCTTTTCCAAGCATTGGCCAGCATTTACCTGGATAAGCACAGAATAGCTAAAAGCCTGGTCTTGACCCCAAAGACCGTGCACCCGCTGGCCCTCCCCGGGAGCAGGATTAGACCTGACGATAGTGCTCTGTAAGGAAAGCAAGCATCCCAGGCTCCAAGCCTCCTTGGAAGCTGACTCAGAAGACTTGAGTGTACCATTTCTCTCCAAGCTACTACATCTCTTCGGCATCTCTACTACATCAAGATGCCGGACGCTCCTGTCTTCGCAAGCTCATGCAGCTCCTGTCGGAGGCCTGTGAACGGCCTCTACTCAAGAGCTGCTCTCACATCCCTGCTTTTTCACCTTCAAAGGGCCACACAAAGCAGAACGACCAGGGTGCTGCATGTTGTAAGTAACTCGGAAAGGAAATAATAACCAGTCACCGTGACAGAAATATCCTTCTTAATCCTACAGCAGTTTGGCTTCCCCGCTGGCCACAAATCCACCCACTCTCTCACCCAATGGCAGATGCTCCCACAATCTCCCCCCCACCTCCAGCAGAAATCAGTAGGAGCAGGCCAAAAACCTGCTTTCATTTCTTGTGTCACCATTTCAGCAGAGGTTTCATTATTTTTTCCATCCTCCTCCAGCTCCTGTTGCACTGCGTTAACGTTAACGTGCAAATCACTGATGGCACCAGGGAGCGGGGGTTGGATTGACCTGCAGCATGACCTTGGGAAAATCATTTATTTTCCTTGTGTCTTGGCTCCCCTCTCATTTTTTCTTCATTATCAAGACAGGGATGGTCTCACAAATAATTATGTGTACAGTGTATATATGACAATGTACTTGCTTGAGAATATGACAAACCATGCATGAAAATTAATAACAGATTACAATTTTCTATTCCATTTATGCTGCTGGGGATCGAAAGACATGAATTGCCACTGGAACTAAATACTGAGAAAGCGGTGGCACTAAAATACCGAGTGGTATTCTTTAAAATCGTTATTACCATTGAAGATGGTATAGCTGAGCTAACCTTCAAACTTCATTTGGGCCACAGATCTAAGGCAAAACTAAATGTAGTCTTCTTTCTATATTTAACAGGAGAAATACACTATGTGCTATTCTATCCTGTCTCTCTCCCTCCAAAGAACATATGAAACTCTTAAGAAGCAAAGACTTTTCCGTTTAGACAAAATTGATCCTTTCTAAATTAATTCAGTTTTGGTTGTTTCTTTTTCCTGGCATCAAGTAAATCTTGTTATTCCACCAAGAATCTTCAAAAATTAAAGAAAATGCTTTCAAAGCTTAAATCTGAATTCAAAAAAGTAATGGAGAAAAATCATTCTTAGTAAACGCTAAGAGTGCAAAGAATGATTGAGTTGCAGTCATTAGCACCAAGACTAACTCACTTTCTGTACAGTCGTCACCTTCAACACTAGTTGCAATGAATATACAGAACTGTTTTTCCCTTGGTCTCAAACTGGTCTAGAAACCTGTGAACTAGTTTGCACTTCTTTAGTCCTTCTGGCTACCGTTAACCTCTGTCCTCACTTGAGCTTTAAAATGTATTTTCCATAAACACTTGCAAAGCTGCAAGCAGAGAAGCTGCATGAATGGTTAGAAGACGCAGATACAAGCCTTGGGCTTGAGCCAAAGTACACTGAAGTCAGTGGAAATTTCCACTGAAGTCAACTGATTGACAATCAGAGTCTTCTGCTAATTTGGGGAAGGACCATTTCAATGTTCAGAGGGGGACGCTGTCATTCAAGTTCATCTCTGGAGAAACCAGCAGTAACATTCACTACATTAGCTAAAAATTAACAACCAAAACACAGTCTCGGTTCATGTCCTAATCTTTCCCAGCCATTAGCTTGAATTTCAGGCTGCACTGTGCCATCAAAGCACTTGGATCCATCTTCAGAAGACATTGCCACGTCTCGTCCTTCCTAGATCCTTAGTCGTTTCTGACAGATGTGTCACTCTGACTCATTTCCAGCTTCAAATCCATAGCATCAAAAAGAGAAAAAAAATAAAGCTGCTTCACTTCTCCTTCAAAGCAGGCTCTGCATAACATGGAGAAGTGCCTGGAGCACGGAGACGGCTCCAGACACAAGAGGTGCCTGCTTGGAAGCCAGCCAGTGACCTTTCAGCAACCGGTGGCTTCCCTCAAACCACCCGCGTGCTGTTTTCCTCGCCTGGTCCCCAGGAGATGTACCCGTGCCTGGAGGAGGGCTCTGCTCTGTGGGAGCGTGGTGGGTGCTCTCAAAGCCTGGCTCTCACCAGGGTGAGAGCAGGAATGATG